AGATCGACTAGAATAGATTGCGACATGCTATAAACAACTTGCTAGCTGAGTCGATCAACGATCGCGTGAGGTAATAAATGCGTTGACAGCGGAGATAGCGGTATGCGTCCGGACAACGCTACTGCGAGATGTCATTGACCTCGAGTCTAACTTAGCCTAAATTACATTTAACCACATTTAAATAACCTCAACGATTTTTAAATTCCCATTACCCCAGGGACTGGTAATATGTCAGCAGGTGACAAGGCCGGGCGGGCTGGGAAAAGGGCTGGGTCACAAAAACAAAGGTAAGGGTATAACAAATGATAAGGTCGCTAGGTATAAGTTCCTTCCGTCTCCCCTCCTCCCCCAATCCCCCTTAGTTTCTCCAAGAATGGAAACATGGCTTAGTAGGGACGCGAACAAACGGTAGCTCGCGGTTTCTTTATGTCAGCCATTAACTCTGTGTGACACGGGTTCACTACTTTATTCTTATGGTCCCAAGGTTGAAAATTAGAAGACGAATCTGATTAAGACATGACGTGTTGATTGAAATCACCAATCACCAGGTCAGAAAAGTTGGCTTATCTCAAATGTGCGGCGTGCTTGGCCGGTGACGATCGTCTGAATCAAGTCAAAATGATTCTTTTCTTGCTATCTGTTTGCTTTTTATTAGTTCTACCAGTCCAGTCTATTTCCACAGCAACAGTCTTCGAATCAAGGAGTCTTCCACAGAACTATCTGATGGCATCGGTAGGGAATGGCTATATTTCTACGGTGGCATACAGTGATACAGTTTATCTCTCTGGTTTGTTCAATGGTCGAGGTACGACAGCTCCAAGTCATCGAGCTCGTATTCCTTCTACATGTGATATTCAAGTGAGAACTAATGTTCCAGGGAAGAAAGATGAGGTTTGGAGCCTCGATGTATCGCAAGGTGTCTTCAAATATCTTCTTACAGCTGTAAACTTTACACTAAAGCAAAATGTTTACGCACACAGAGTTCGACAACACGTGATCATTTCAGAAGTTTCAGTTTCCAACTTGATGAATGAAGATATTCAAATCGCCTTTGACACGAGTTTCAACCCATCGAGTCAAGATATCGACTTTAAAATGGTCTCTCCTTCAAGAATCCGCAGACTGAATCAAATGTTTCCATCTACACAATATACCTACAAAGCGATGCAAGGGTATATCAAGGAAACAGAGGAACCCGATAGCCCCAGGTTAGGAGTGGCGGTCGTATGGACGGGAGTCCCGGGTGATCCAATAACTGTCACGCGACACTCCTCGCACAAGTGGTATTTTGTGACAGCTATATCCAGTAGCTTAAACACAGAGAACTTTCTACAAGACGCCTATAATTCATACGTTTCAGCCATGAATGACTTGGATAATCTACTAGGAAGCCACACGAAAGCATGGCAAGAGATCTGGGAGCAAGGCCGTATTGAACTGGATGGGAATCTTCCACTTGCACAAGCTGTGTATGGAAGTCTTTACTACATACTCAGGTAAGGAACTTTTTTTTTTTTTTTTTTTTGCATGATACTCAAAGTGTTCGGAACTTACTGATCCGCCTTTGCCTTGCAGTTCTATTCGTCCGTCGTGGCCATATGGGTTGAGTCCGGGGGGTCTCGCCACAAATGGGTATAATGGACATACTTTTTGGGACCAGGAAACATGGATGTATCCACCTCTATTGATGTTCTTTCCTCTCTTCGCACAATCGTGTTTGGAGTACAGATTGAATCGACTGCAAGTAGCAAAGAACAGGGCAAAGAAACGCTCTTACCAAGGTAAGTCAATAGCAATCTGAAATTATCGTAACGGTTACGTAAATCATGTAAGAATATACATTGATATACCCTGTAGGTGCTATGTTCCCTTGGGAAAGTGCTGTGACCGGTAATGAAGTATGTCCTGGCCAAATCTATTCCGACTATGAACAACATATTACAGGAGACATTGGTATCGCTGCTAAACAGTACTGGCTTGCAACAAATGATGTCCAATGGTTGAAAGAGAAGGGGGTTGATCTTATTTACTCTACAGCAGAGTTCTGGGCTAGTAGGGTAACACTAAATCAATCTAAGGGACAGTTTGTTATATATRACGTCATGCCGCCTGATGAAGATCGTGGAGTGGTGAACAATTCAGTCTATACTAACGTGATTGCCAAGCTTAACCTTGAGTTTGCTACGAAGATGATTAAGAACACACCCAAGAACTGGAAGAAAATAGCAGAAAACATTTACATTCCTTTTGACGCCCAGAGACAATACCATCCTGAATATGAAGGCTACGATCTAGACATCAAGGTCAAGCAAGCCGATGTAATACTTTTAGGCTTTCCATTAATGTACAATATGAGTTCTCAAGTAAGAAAGAACGACCTTACTATTTACGAGCCCCGTACTCAACCAAAAGGTCCTGCTATGACCAAGTCTATGTTTGCTTTAAACTGGTTAGAGATTGGAGAACTGGCCAGAGCTGAGGCATCGTTCAATAAAAGCTATCTAAACGTAAAGGAGCCATTCAAAGTCTGGACAGAAACCCCTGACGGAGGAGCTGTCAATTTTATAACTGGAGCGGGAGGATTTCTCCAAGCTGTCATTTTTGGCTATGGTGGATTTAAACTGCGCGAGTCTTACCTTGAATTCCATCCCAGGCTCCTTCCACACACAAGCCAGGTTAAGATAGTAGGGCTCGACTACCTTGGTAACAGTATTGATGTTATTATTACTATGACGTCATCGAATCTTACTGTGACGTCACGGCAAAGCTCGTCCCCAGTCCTTGAAGCTGTTGTTCAGTCATCTCAAAGAAAATACATCCTTGATGTCGGTCAGACAATAGTGCTGCCAAACACGCTCACGTGGATTCAAAAGAACACTCAGAACTTAATTTAGTTGAACGCTTTTATTTTCTAGTCTTTTCACAGTGATAAATTAAGCAATGAGTTGGGAAGGTTCGGATGAGAAGGTGGAAGACTGCATGCGTATAATAAATAGTGTACACAATTTGGTTGTATAACACGGACAGTCCTTATATATACATTATAATATGTTTTACATACATCAATCCTAGTAATAAGAGTAAAGATAATATGTTATATCTGTTGCATAAAACATTTCGCGCTTTTATCTGTAAAAACTTTGATTCTTAATGACGTCATCCTTTTCCAAGATGACATCATTCTTGCTAAACTGACGTCACTTGAAATACGATCATTTAATAATTCTATGATTAAAAAATATTTTGCTTTGGTTTGCACAAAGAGTCGGCTCTTCTTTAAGTCAAGGGCTCATAGTAAAACTTTGGTTTAAGAAAGTTGATCGTGATTGGATCATGTTTGAAGTATTCACTTTCTATGTCTTAAAAATATTATATTATTGAAAACTAGTATTAATATTAATCATACAATTTTATATCACTCTAATAATATATTAATAATCAATGAGAAGACTATCTGTAAAACCTGGATACTGAAAACCGGGTTAAGACAGCCAGCATAGTGGAGTAACATACTATTGCTGTGCCACACTGTTGACTGTATGAATAGAAAACACCACTCTCTTGTATTTACAATAATAAATATCTACTGCGATTTTAGATATTCTGCGAACACGTAAGTTACAAGCTGCTGTCAATCAAAAATAATCAGTAAGTACCTATTATCTTCATGACTGGCGGCAGTAAAAAACCAATTTCACAACTAGCTGTTGGAATGTCCGAGTTCGCAGAATATCGAAAACCGCAGTTATAAATGGAATGGAATATTATCTTTTGGAAGCCTGACTTTTTGTCATTTTCTTTAACATTTGTTTTCCTTTAGACAACAGTCCTTTCTTCTTTTTAGGTGACTCTTCCTTTGAAGGATGAGTACCGTTAGGTGTCTTACTGGGGCCTGGGGCGGGTGATTCCTGAAACAAATGATGCGTATGCGTGATCACGTGATCCTGAGATTTCTAGTTCATTACAATAAGTGATTACAGATGTTATTGAGATTGAAAAAAGAACTGATAAGATTAGACATACAGCAGAGATACGAGTGAGAGAGAGAAGTCCATTGAGTAGTCAACTTGATCAAGAGTTAGCCAGTACTAGGAGAGATAAACCCTGACAATATGTCAAAGGTGGAAAAGAAGGTTAGTTTGTTATACATCAAACAATGGTATTGCAAGGGTTAGGCAWAAAATATGATAGGCCTGAAGTAAGGGAGTGAGTATTGCAGGGTGTGGGCCATGAGCAATGACAGGAGAGAGGAAGAGGTTTGTAGGAAGAGAGAGTATCAAGTGAATAAGCAAGGCGGTTGAATATATTGAATTGTTTATTTTGTCCAGGAAAGCGTTTTATTTACCTGACTAACAAAACTGCTATCAGAATTCTCTTGAGAAGTGAACGAGTTTTCCTGTTCATTGTGGGGTGGTGAGGGTTTTTCTTTGATGTCCTCTAAAAAGTTTGAAGGGACAAGACCTCGCACACCGCCTTGTTCACCCTATGAAATATATACAATCAGTGCGTTAAAGAGTGTTACTGGAAGGATATYACACAATTCTCTTGTTATTTACCGTGAAAAAGCCGTCTTCATCCATTTCTCCGTACACATAAATGAAATCACCAGCACGAAAACGTAGTTCAACCTAACAGACAAATCAAAAGAAATGTCTTTCAGTTCTGGTTCATGTACAAGCGGCTGATTCAACAGCTTATTCATCTGTCCGTCAGTACTCACCTCACTATCAGGATTAGGAGATAATATCTGTGGGTCATAATCGAATAATGCTACCATCTTCTTTGGTTTCAGACTGTAGTTCATACTAGTCCTTGGATCTTCGTATCCTATTTCCTCCTCGTCTTGTTCAGGCGTGTAATTCGTGTCTTGTTCTGGTTGATAACTGTCGTCTTGTTCTGTGTCATCCTCAGTATCACCAGCATGATGGATGACAACCTTTGGATACTGACTACTTTGGCCTTCAGGCTGTTGGTACTTATGATCATGGGATTCATTTGCTTGGTAATCATGATGAGGGGAGTCATTTGATTGGTACTTATGATCAGGGGAGTCATTTGATTGGT